GTTCATGAGCGGCTACAACTCCATCTGTAAAACAGTGGCCTGGACTTGAAGTTTTGCCAGACCTCTTGTATCATGGGGACTGTAAAGTTGGGATTCAAGATAGCTATTGGAAAAACAGCTATTTCAGATGCAGCAGTAAACTGAAGTGCAATTAAATTTAGCTTTACGTAGCATTTGTGCTTTTGATTATTCTGAAGCATGTATTTTCAAAACAAGATTGTTTCCAACTCTGTGGCATCACTGAATTTTTAAAGCTGGAGGGAGCTGGGGGTGACTCAGAAAACCCTTTCATTCTCACAAGATTCTTTGCTTTAAAATCACGTGTCTTTGGTTTCTGCTTGTGGGGCAGCCTCAGCTTTGCCTGGGTACGGACCGAGGGGGCTCAGCTCCAGCCGTGGGGCCGCTCCCCCCGGGGCTGGGCCAGCACAGCAGTGACCTTGTTTTCAGCAAGTGCCTCTTTACGCAGCCCCTCGTGGGATTTTACGCCTGGTAATTTATGTGAGAAAGCTGACGCAGGGGTAGAATGATGAAATCTCGCGTTTGTCTCTCACGCCTCTAGGAAGGGAAACCCCCAGCAGCTCTGCCTGCCAGGAACGCACTTTCCAGTCGCGGAACCAAACCCGTCCTCCGCCGCGCAGACACCCAGCCGGCGACGGCCCCACACAATTAACAGTAAAGCATTTTAATTTCACGCACTGACAGCGTTATTGTCTTGACGGGGCGGGAGGTTGCGCTCGCTGGCCAGCTCCACGGGCCGGATCCGGATCGGGGCCCGTCTCCCTCTGTCACGGGCCGTGGCCGCAGGTACCGGCCGTGTGGTGCAGAGCCACCACTCGGTGCCGTTTGTTTGCTCAAATTAACATTTATTGGTGCAGCGGCGTGAGTTCTTACAGCAGCAAGCAGTCGCAGGGCGAGTTTATTTTGACTGGACTTGGTGGTTTTGAGGACCAGTTGGAAATATTCCTTTAACAGAAAATGAGAAAAAGCAAAGAAGCAAGGGAAGGTTGTAAAAAAAAAAAAAAAAAAAAATTTTCTGCTTATTGCATCTTTTGCTCCCTGTGCCCCAAGCACCCCCAGCAGCCGTGCTCATCGCCCGTGCACCACGCAGGGCTGGTGCTGCCTGCCCCGGGGAGCTCCGGGAAGGTCAGCGAGGGGGAAGGTTTCCTCGGCAGCTCCCGGAGACACCCCGAAGTGAGCCTGGCCAAGGTGCCGTGCCTCCTGCGCAGGCTTGGGCTCCGGGGGAGGGCTCCAAACTGGGCAGCTCCCACGCAGGGCGTGAGCGCGGTGGCAGCCCCGGGGAGCTCTGGAGCTCTGCCTGCGGGCGCGACGGCCGGGCTGCGCTGGGAGCTCGAGCTTCGGCTCCTGGAGCTGCTGAAAAGCTTGTTTGTTGGTCTAGTACAGCAGTAATTTCCTCTGAGAGCCTTGCCCTCACCCTGGCACTCGTCAGTTAGCATTGGGACGCTGTCAAAGGCTAATGGCCAAAACCAGAGCCACGCTGCGGGGAAGGGGATGGTGCCCGCACAGGCAGCCCGCGGCAGGGGAGCGGGCTCCCGCTTGGGGCTTGGTTTTGAGGTTTTTTTTTCAATTTTTATCAAAGTTTTAGCACTGTGTCAGCCACCACGTCTCCTGTGAGCCCGGGTGACAGGCATGCCCGTGTCCCAGAGCTAGTTCAAGCCGTTTAGCTGTTTAGGTCTCTGGGGTGAAGTGAGCTGGGCTGGGAACGCCGCGGGAGGGGGATTTTGGGGACCCCGCAGCCTGCGCCCGGAGCCGCTCCATTGCGTGCCGACCTGGGCACAGCTGGTGAGGATTGGGGTGACCTTCATCGCCGCAGGGTCCCGGTGCAAGCGCCTGGTGACACAGCTTTGCAGCTGCCCCGGCGCGGCGTCGGGAGCAGCCCGCGGTGGGGCAGGAACCTGCCACTGAGTTTGTTTTCAACCAAAGAGTTTTCGTTTTATTTCTCCCCTTCGGTGAATCTTTTTGGGCTTACTAAAACAAACATGTTAGCTGCCAAAGCGTGACAGCCAAAAAACAAGGTCACAGATGAGAAAACACATGGAAGAGTCGGATGTTGCATAACTGGCGAGGTCGGTGCCAAACCCCAGTGAATGATTTCTGTCTCCAAGCTGCCCCGGAGGGAAGCGGAGCTCCGGGTGGCTGGGGATGCTGTCGGTGCTGCTTTCCCTGGGCATGACTGCGCGGCTGTGCAGCGGGAGCGCTTTGGCTGTCTTGGCAAGGGCCAAACCAGTTGAAGCTGCACCCAAAGCTCTGGCTGAAGCTTGTCGGGCTGAGGGAAATGCCTGCTGGGCAGGCTGTAGGCTGGGTAGGAGACATGAGAGGAAAGGAACCTTTAGCGAGGAAAGAGCCTCGACTGTAGCCAAGGCCCTTAAAGCAAAACTAATGAGAACCTTCCACGCCTTGGCTTTTTAAACCCAAAGTTCAGTCCTGAAGGCGTATGATCCTCCACCTCGACAGCGCGCGCGCCTCACTGAGCCGCTCCTGCGCTTCTGAATCGGAGCAGACAGAGCGCTGGGAAACGCAGCCCTGGGAACAGTTTGGCACTGGCGAGGGGACAGGCAGGATGAATCCTAGGCGAGCTCTTCCACAGCTTAGCATTTATGATTCACTGTTGAAATCGAATGTATTCTGCAATTACACACCACTCTTCGAGGCGTTCAGCTGCCGCGGGTCGGAGCGGCACAGCTGGCGTAAGGCTCTTCGCCGCCTTCGGAGCAGTTCGGTTCCAGTCTGAGGAAACTGGTGTCCGTGTAGACGTGAGGGCCGTCTCTGCCGAGGGCAAGGAGGAGCGGCGGCTGCTCTGTCCCGCCGGCGCTGCCGTCCCAGCTGGCTCCCGAAGCAGATCTGCCTTCTCACGGTGCCCTGCAAGATGCTAAAGGAGCCGTGCAGAAGCCAAGGGCAAACCTCTCCTTGACTCCACTGGAGCCAGGATTTCACCCGTGGACAGATCCTCCTACGGAACTCTCCCGAAAGAGGCACAACAATGAAAAAAAAAGCATTGCACGTGGTGAGTTGTTGTCCTCAGCGATTCCCACAGCCGTTTTATTGCCTGAAGGAGGAAGAACGTGAACCCTGGAGGGAAGGACTTGCCAAAGTATTTAACATTTCTACATCTTGCATGGAGCTAAAGGTTCCCAAAAATCTTTAAAAATAACTGCAGAGATGTTTATTCAAGGTCTAAGGCTAGGCTAAGTAGAGTTTGAGATGTGGCTTCCAGGGGAAGGCAGCACGGGGGGATGAGCACCAGCGTGCCGGCTTTCGCTTGGAGCTGGGGGGCTGTGGCAGCCAGGCCGGGTGGGCTCCTGCTGAAGCCACCTTTTTGGGGGGGGGCTGGGAATGACTCAGTGGCTGCTGCCGGGCTCCGGGAGCGGAGCTGGGGGGCTCGGAGCTGTTCTGAGCGCTTCTGCCTGCACCCGGGTCCTCGCTTCCCTCCCAGGGGCCTGGGAAAACCAGCGAAATGTGCTGCTGGGCTAGTGGCAGGGATGGCAAACGATGCCAAACACAGCCACCTTCTCTTCTTTTATAGAAATGCTTTAAAAATACTCTAAAATAATCCCTGCTGGAAAGGAAAACAGTGGTTCTTGGTGACGGTTTTACCTGCCAAGTCAGGGAAGCACGAGGCTCCTAGCTGAACGGGGCTGTGCGCTGGGTTCGGCGGGAGCTTTGCTGGGGGTGCCTGTGGCTGCTGGAATCCAGCGAGATTCCGAGACCCCAGGGCCGAGCGGGCAGCTGGGGGTCCCCTCGGAGAGCCCCCCCTCGGAGAGCCCCCCCCTCGGAGAGCCCCCCGCTTCGCACATCCTCTGGCATCCCGCACAGCGGCTGTTGGACGAGAAGAGCATCTTCCCCTGCTCCCGCACCTCGCCCCGTCCCCCCCCGCGCCCCCCCCCGGGTGTTTCCAGGCCCGGGGGGGTGTCGGGCCGGGGGGCTGCGTTTGCGAAGAGCTGAGCCCGGCGTGGGTGCTCTCCCACCCCTCCTCCGCGTTTCACACGTCCCACGCCGGCGGGGGACGCCGTGACCGTGTGGGGGGGTTCCCCGTCGGGGTTTTGCAGCCCCCTCCCCGCACCCCCGCCAGCCCCCGCCCATCACCGTGGCACCCGCCGCCGGCCTCCGCTCCGCCGCTCCCTCTCGCGGCGGCCGCTCCGAGCGCAGCCGGGCAGGACCCGGCCCCGGGCCCCCTCCGCACCCGGGCGGGCAGGATCCGGCCCCGGCCCGGGGCTGCTCCGGCTGCGGGGCTCGGGAGAGCGGGGGCTGCCCCCGAGGGGCGGCGGGGACCTGCCCGCCACCGGCGTGGGGCTGCTTCGCGACACCCCGTCGCGGGTGGGTGAGCAGGGTGGCAGGGATGCCCGGGGGGGGTTTGGGGAGGGGGAGTGGGGCGGCAGGGATGCCCCGGGGGGGTTTGGGGAGGGGGGGAAGAGGGGCGGCAGGGATGCCCGGGGGGGGTTTGGGGAGGGGGAGAGGGGAGGCAGGGATGCCCCGGGGGGGTTTGGGGTGGGGGGGGAGAGGGGCGGCAGGGATGCCCGGGGGGTTTGGGGAGGGGGAGTGAGGCGGCAGGGATGCCCGTGGGGGTTTAGGGAGGGGGAGAGGGGCGGCAGGGATGCCCGGGGGGGTTTGGGGAGGGGGAGAGGGGAGGCAGGGATGCCCGGGGGGTTTGGGGAGGGGGGAGAGAGGGGCGGCAGGGATGCCCCAGGGGGGGTTGGGGTAGGGGGGGAGAGGGTCGGCGGGGATGCCTGGAGAAGCGGGGGGAGCTGGCCGCTCCCCGGAGATGGGCAGGGCACGGGGAGGAGGTGCCGAAGCGGGGTTTGGGTGGGGGGGCCGGCAGGTCTGGGAGGGCCCCGGGGGAGCTGGGAGGGCTGGGACGGGGCGGCCGCCTCTCTCTGCCGGCCCTTTCCCCCCAATCCTCCTCCTGCGCATTTTTTTTTTTTTTTTTTCTTTTTCCTCCTGTCTGGGGGCAGGAGCCTGCGGAAACGTCGGGTGCCCGGGGAGGGGACAGGGTGGAGCCGCCGGAGAGCCCTGCAGCCCCGGGGCCGGGGCCAGGGCCGGCCAGGCTGCTCCCCGCAGCGGGCAGCGCCCGAGCGGCAGAGCCCGGGGCCGGGAGCGGGGCCACGGCTGCCGCCCGCGGGCCCACGCGTGCCGGGGATCCGCCGCCCGCCCTCGCTGCTGCCGGGCTCTATGTGGCCATGGAGAAGTTGTACTTCGTGGGGAGCAGCGTGTGGACGATCAACAGCTCCCTGGGGAACGGCAGCCTCCGCCTGGAGAACCAGACCTCCGGGAGGAACAGCACCACGGACCCCCTGAAGAGGAACGAGGACATGGCCAAGGTGGAGGTGACGGTCCTCTGCCTCATCCTCTTCCTCGCCCTGACCGGCAACCTGTGCGTGCTGCTGGCCATCCACACCACCCGGCAGAAGCACTCCCGCATGTACTTCTTCATGAAGCACTTGAGCATCGCTGACCTGGTCGTGGCCATCTTCCAGGTGCTGCCCCAGCTCATCTGGGACATCACCTTCAGGTTTTACGGGCCAGATTTCCTCTGCCGGTTGATCAAGTACTTGCAGGTAGTGGGGATGTTTGCTTCCACATACATGCTCTTGCTGATGTCCCTGGACCGGTGCTTGGCCATCTGTCAGCCGCTGAGGTCTCTGCACAGGAGAGCAGACCGGGTCTCTGTCCTCCTCACCTGGCTGCTGTGCCTGCTGGTCAGCATCCCTCAGATCCACATATTTTCTCTGAGGGATGTGGGGAATGGGGTTTACGACTGTTGGGCAGATTTCATCCAGCCCTGGGGACCTAAAGCCTATGTCACCTGGATAACCCTCATGGTCTACATCATCCCTGTGTTGATGCTGAGCATCTGCTATGGCTTAATCAGCTTCAAAATCTGGCAGAACGTGAAGCTTAAGACAGCTCAAGGGTCCAACATGGGTCTGAGCTCCAGTTCCCACAGCGGGATGGTGTTTGCCAGGGTCAGCAGCACCAGGCTCATCTCCAAAGCCAAGATCCGGACAGTCAAAATGACCTTCATCATAGTGTTAGCGTTCATAGTGTGCTGGACTCCCTTTTTCATTGTGCAGATGTGGTCTGTGTGGGACACGAATGCTCCGCAGGAAGGTACATCCTCTCCCCTCCTGAATCCCCGTGTTTGCAGGGACCCCCGAGCTCAGCGCCCGCAGGGACCCCCGCACAGACTCGCGGGCGACAGCCAGAAGCTCTGCTCTGAGCTGGGGCTCAGGGGGCTGGGAGGGAGGCGGGAGAAAGTCCTGCACGTAATAAAAGCCACCCAACGGGCAGCAGTGGCTGTGCCTGAGCTCCCCGGGTGCCGGCGAGGGCTGGCGCAGCCCCCGGCAAATTCAGGGCCGCCGCGACTCGGGGGTCGGGCTGTGTGGGTGATGGCTCGGGAGGTTTTCACCGTCCCTGGGTGCGTGGGCTCAGCCCTCCTGGGGCTGCTCTGGGGTCCCCGGTGCTTCGATTGCCCGCCCTGGGTGCTGGGGGTGCCGAGGACTGTGTGGGAGCTCAGCCCCCACCGGTGCCCGGGGGTTGGGGTGACTGCAGGAAGAGACTGAGCTGTAGTGCCTGACTTCTTTTCTTTTGCTGTATTTTTTTGTCCTTGCTGACTTCTTTTCTTTCTACTCTTTTGCCCTCTTTTCCCCTCTCCTCCCGTTCCCGTCCACCCCAGGACTGTGCTGCAGTTATTTTATCTCTAACTGGAGCACGGTTCCTGCAGAAAGCCACTGATTTATGAGCAAAGGCTTTTCCTAAAGGACGTGGTGTCACTGATTTGCCATTCTTTATACTTGGCACTGGCTGCTCCTGTCATCACTAAGGTTTCAGACAGAGTAAAATATATTACCCTCCTCGGTCTTTCATGCTTGTAAACTGTGCAAGTCTGCTGTTCCCGGGAGGAGGTGGCCAATGGTTCCTCTGCACCCTCAGGGAGAACTGGCCAGGAAAGCTTAAAAGAAAAACCTCTGTACAAGTTTGTGAGGTGGGAGAAATGGCAAAAAAGTGCTTCCAGGGATAACTTTTCCTTGGCCAGACTGACCCAACTCAACAGAAATGCTGAGTCTGGGGATGTCAAGGACCGACGAGGAGCTGCGACCTGCTCCCAGCTCCCCCGGCAGCCCTGCCGCGGCCAGAGCTTCGCGGCGGAGGGCACGGCTCACTTCCACCCGGCACCCTTTTCCTTTCTTTAACCCTATTCCTGCTATACATTGCTCTGTGGAAAACCTGATGACTACTGCAGCCTGTGCACATCTGTTTTCCCAGAGACTGAAGCTGGTAGCCTGGCTCCAGCTCTCCTAACTCGCCTTTATTGCTTCTCTCTGCTCCTTTTATTTCAGGTGAAGTGAAGCAGAGCTTTTTAAACCTCCCTAGGTGCCCCAGGCAGCCGTCTCTTAGTTCCCCACATGATTTAGGCTGGTTGAAACTTCTAGTTTTTAGGGGATGAAGCAGGGTCTCTCCTTTTCGCCCTATTTCAAACCTGCAATCTCGAGGGCTTCCACCTGACTCATCAGCAAACAAACCTCTGCCGCTCTGCTGATCGCGGCGGCGAGGAGCGGGGGGACGGCCGGGCTGCGCACCGATCGCACCCTGCCTGCTGCGCCGCCAAACTTTCCCTTGCTCACCCTGGGCAATCGGCCCTGCGATGCTTTTTCCTTCCCTGCTTTGCTTTTATGTAGTGGGGAAGGCGCCAGCCGTGCCGAGCTGTAGCAAACTCCCCTTTCCTTCATCGTTCTGGTGCTCAGGGGGCCGTGTCTGCGGTAAAGGGTGGGAGTTCTGCCAGAGCATTTGCTGGAGGCTTTCATGGCACGGGGAGGAAAAACCTGGGCGTGTGAGTGAGGATAGCGAATGCCAGGAGACCCCAGCCCTCCCTCCCAGGCCCACCCTCCTCCTCGCTGGCTGCCCAGAGGCACAAGAGGGGCGGCAGAGTCAGACCTCTCTCTGCAGAAGGATTGGGCTTCGCCTGCTGCGTTCCTGCCCTGCGTCCTGGGTTTCTTTCCCTTTGCACCGAGGCGTGGGCTGCCTCGGCCAGGCGTTGTCACAGGGTGCCTGGCAGAGCCGTACCCTTCAGCAGGAAGGGAATTTGGCTGTTTCTCATCTTGCAGGCTCTGCAGTCTGCCTGGGCATAACATCAGAGAAGGAGGAGGAGCAGGCGGGCAGGGTGCAGCTCTGGGGCCCCGACGCGTCTGCGACACTGACGGGCTGCACCCCAGGAGGTGACGAGTGGGTCGCAAAGGCTGTGTGAGGGACAGTCGACCACTTCAGAAAATGTTTAGTTTTCTCCACGTAGGGTGTCATAAAGAGTGTCCCCTGGCAAGGGAAAGCCTGTTTATACCCACCGGAATCCTAATGAACCCTGAGCAGGCACGCTGCAGTTTTCTGCCCGTGCACTGCATCCCGGAGCGTGGCGAGACACGGCTCTCGGGTGTTAGTGGAGGGACAAGCAGCGCTTGGTCTGCTGTGGGTAAAACTCCATGCTTCCACCTTCACAGGGGGCAAAGCCTGCTGCGGTTTGGTGCGTGTTAGGGCTAAGAGGTGAGGCTGTAAAGAAAACAAACAGCAGAAGCCCTTCCTTTCCTAGTTAGTAAAGTGATAATCAGAGAGGTCTCACCCTGCTATTGCTGATTCACTTCAGCTGCTTCCTACCTGGGTCTTCCTCACTTCATAACCCGACTTCGGTGAAATCAGGTGAGTGAAGTGCAGATGCTGTGGCCCTGCCCTGCACGGTGCTGGGTGGAGTGTCAGGATGGGGCTGGGGTCCCACTCCCCCTCTCTCCCAGCTCTGCTACCACCCTGCCCGGCGCCCTGGCTCCGCAGTATGTCAGGGCCAGGCAGCCCCTCTTTTGTCCCTTCCCCGGGGGCAGCTGAAAGTGCCTGAATGTGAGTGCTGGGCACTTGGGAGCACGGCTGCGTGCCTGGGGAGGGACTGGGGGTGTCAGCCCGACCCTTGCCTTTGCTGGCCATGCAGACCTGCAGCCCCTGCAAGCGCGGGTTGGAGCTATGGGTTATCTCTCAGGCGTCGGCTCAAGCACCCGGGATCCTTTGCAGACCATTGGTTAAAAGGAGGTTTCTGCTGCACACACCTTGCAGATAATGTATGTTACAGGTGGCGTTTTGAGTCAAAGTTGGCTTAAAACATCTGTGAAGGTAATAGGGAGGCTGTGAAACGGCATAACTGTTGCATTGGTCCCTTAATCTTGGGAGCTGGTGCCCCGAATCATGGGCGGTGAGTGGCAGCATCTCTCTGTGCGTGGGAATTAGTGACCCTCCTCGTTTCACTTCAGTTCTGTAACAGCGTTTGCAGCAGAGGTCCCGTCCCCGGGCACAGCCTCCTGCCAGTGTGACATCCCAGCCCCGCTGCGGGCCACCTGCAGAGCCTGGGCAGGGGGAACGTCCCTGTGGGGCAGAGCTGCGCTTTGCAGCACCGCGGGGATCGCTGGGGCCCCCGAGAGGGGACAGATCCCCCCTTCAGACCTGCCCTGCCGTGAGCTCCGTGCAATTCAATTTATCTCCTGCGGAGACAGAAGAGCTGAGTCAGCCACGGCTGGGTTATTTTTTAAGTGGATGAAAATGCTGTGATGTATTTCAGGTCTTGCGCCTAGGACTTGTAAGCCGTTCCCCATGGATTTCTTTTAGCGTATGCTTGAAATTAAAAGCGGTTGGACCACACATCACTAGAGCAGGAATTATGCATGAGCTGGCTGAAGGTGAATTTTGAAATGAGTCTTCATTATTCACGTTTATTTTCTAGTTTAAAAACTGCAAGTAGTTTTTTGCAGAGGCAGGAAGGGACCAGAAACAGCTGAACCGGTGTATGCGTCCTTACTGCTGGCGTGTCCCCTGAGAGCACAGGGAGATGAGAAGATGGGGCTGAAAACGTGGGGAGCAGAATAAAAGCTCTGTCCCACACCTGCAGGCGCTTCATGGGGGTGCTGCCCCGCGGGGGGCTGGGGTGGCCCCCCCTTGTCCCGGCTGCCGTGGCGGGTGCGAGTCCCCCTGTCCTGGTCTCACCAGGAGACACCGGTCCGGCCCCTCGCGTGGGACAGTCGGGTGTTTCGTGCTGGGGGGAATGGAGAGCAGCAGCTGGAGACTTGCTGCCCTGGCACCGCGCCGCCAGCATCGTCCCCCTCCCCGATGTCGCGCTTCCAGCCGGGAGCTGTTGCCAGGCTCCTGGGCTTCCTTACCGGGATGGCAATGGCTGTCATTTCCCCTGGCAGAGTGTCGCACGTGAAAATTTAAATCAGGGGGAAAGAAAAACGCCACTGCTCCCCAGGGGTGGGAGAGCACCGGGCAGAGAGGCCTGGATGGGGCCGGGCTGGTGGGCACTGTCCTGTCACTGGGTTTTGGTGGTGGGGGCGCAGGGCACAGCCCGGGGCCTGGGGGAGCGTGGCTTCCCCACAGCCGGAGTGGATGAAAGCTGATAATCTGCCCCAAATCGGCTGCTGGTGGGGAAAAAATGAGCCACCCGGCTCTTTTTGTTCTTAGTCCTGCTCTTTGCCATGGCAACTTGGAGGGGCCGCGCTCCCTCCTCCCCGCTTCGGGCAGGGTAGGGGCGAACGGTGCAGGTGATGCTGGGGGCAGCTCTGGGGTATTTCTGGGGTAACGCCGAGCGGGCGGCAGCGCCGCAGCTGAGCGGGGGGAAATGCCGCTCTTCAGGGTGGGGGGGGGGTGGAAAAACCACCTAAACCCGAGTTGCTTAAACCCAGACTCGCTTCCCTCCTTTTGATCGCCCGCTCTCCTTCGCCGAGGGACGGGCCGCGGTGTGTGGTTCTGGCCGCTCGTGCCGTGCCCTGACGCTGCCCTGTTTTTCTGCCTTGCAGCCTCCCCCTTCATCATCGCCATGCTCCTGGCCAGCCTCAACAGCTGCTGCAACCCCTGGATCTACATGCTGTACACGGGGCACCTCTTCCACGACCTGATACGGCGCTTCCTCTGCTGCTCCACGCGGTACCTGAAGTCCCGGCCGGCGTGCGACCTGAGCGTCAGCAAGAAGAGCAACTCCTCCTCCTTCGTCCTCAGCTGCAAGAGCACGAGCCAGAGGAGCTTCACGCAGCCGACCACGGCGTGAGGGCATCGCCGGCCGGGACCTTGCGCTGTCTCCAGCGCTTCCCTGGGGAAGGCTGGGATTCGGACAAGCAAGGCGGGCTCTATATAAATAGGTGTATATACATCTGTGCGCGTGTAAGCATGTACAGCGGTCATTATTTAATGAGGTGGGAGGGAGGGGAGGACTTCTGTGGGCCAAGCTTCAGCGCTGCCTGGAACTGGGCACCAGGAACCTGCTTCTGAGCCCCCAAACTGCCCTCGGTGGTTTTGAAGCACCGCTGGGAGGGACAGGTTTTGCCCCGGGTGCTGCCGTGCTCCTGGGGCAGGTGTGCTACGTCCCCGGCGGGTGCAAGGGGCTGGAGCACAGGGCGAGAGGTGCCACCCTGGGCACGTGGGCATCGGGCACTGGCCCCATCTCTGCCCGCAGCAGGAATTCCGCAGGATACCAGCACCTGGCTGGCGTGGAGCATGGGCACCGCGCTCTCAATATGCTGGGAAGTGCTGTGGGGCAGAGGGAGCCCCATCCCCTCATCCCCCCTGCATCCCCTCATCCCCATATCCCCGCATCCCTGTATCCCTGCATCCCCACATCCCTGCATATCCCCTCATCCCTGCATCCCCTCATCCCCATATCCTCGCATCCCCGCACCCCTGTATCCCTGTATCCCCACATCCCTGCATCTCCCCTGCATCCCCTCATCCCCGCATCCCCTCATCCCCGCATCCCCCCTGCATCCCCTCATCCCCATATCCCCGCATCCCTGCACCCCTGTATCCCCGCGTCCCCACATCCCTGCATCCCCCCTGCATCCCCTCATCCCTGCATCCCCGCATCCCTACACCCCCGCATCCTTGCTCGGTACCAGCCCGGCTTCCCCCAGCCTGGACCTGCTGGTGGCACTGCTGGCACAGAGCCGGGCAGTCCTGCTGCCACGGGCTGGGGGGGGGGGGCAGTGGGGACAGGGCTGGGGACCAGCCCCCCCCAGGGGCCAACGCTAACGCCCGGGTGTCCCCCCACGCTGCGTGGTGTGAGGCTGCGCACTCGGGTCAGCCGGAGCCCGGGGAGCCGACACGGCTGCAGGGCTGGGGGGTCTGTGCAATAACGCGTTTGCTGAGCGGGCTCAGAAGCTCCTGCGAAGGCAGGTGGGGGGGGGTCACAGCAGGGGGTCATGGTGGGGTTTGACACAGAAACTCCCGTTGAGTCCCCCAGGGCCAGGCTTTTGCTTTGGGTTTACCGCAGATCGCATTCAGTCTTTTACACCAATACAATTTTCTTGCTCTGTAACGCACAAGGTCATGCTTATGGCACGGAGATTTTTTTTTATTGTTAAGAATTACCTGTAAATAAAGTTTTCTGACTGTGTCTTGATGGAAAGCGGCAGGGGAAGCGCGGCAGGAGCACTGGGCTAGGAAAGTGAAGGCAACCGACGGGGAGCAATGCTTTAAACACGAGGCCCAGGTACGCCCAGCGTAACGATGCTCTCGTTTGCAGAGCCCAGCGCCCACAGCCCGCAGGGTGGCACGCCGGGGGGGGACACGCACGACCCCGGCCGCAGGCAGCGGGGCCTTTACCCAGCAGGTACATTTTCATATCCTGGCATTCCCAATTTTTCTGCAGTCAAGCAAGCTCTCCGCGCATTTGCTGAATACGACCCAGAACATTCAGCCTCAGCGGATTTTACCAGGCTGGATTCAATCCTCAGGAAAGCGCACAGCGTTTTCCTCCCACATTCACTTTTTTTTTCTCCCGGAGAACAATCCTCTCCTGCACAACACAGGCGGAGGGGGAGGCTCCCGTTTTCTCATGAACCCGGGGGCCCGGCGCAGCCTCCGTCTGCCAGGCGGGCAATGCAACGTGGCGATGGATTTTACCGGGAGCGATGTGCTGGGGAAGGTGGAAGCCGCGGGGGGAGGCCGGGCATCGCCTTGCCAGCCCCGGTTCCTATCCCGGGCTGCGGCTGTGGGGCCGGGCAGGAGGGGCCGGGGAGAGCAGCGCCGGGCTTGTCGCAGTGGAAGGGTACTGAACGCGCTGCCAAGAAGCTTTTCATAAGGGTCGAAAGCAAAATAAAGGTGCTGACACGTGAGCAGCGTGTGTGCCACGTGCCAGAGCCCATAGATTACTGCGGTGGGGAGATCAGGGTTCTGTAGGGCTCAGGCTGTGAACTGCTAGAACAAAAAAAAAAATGTAAAAGAATATAATCTCAGTATTTTTTAAAATTATTTTTATTCCCACAAAAAGCTTTAAAAAATGCTCATGATAAAGTGGTTTTGAGACTTTTTTTTCCCCCTACAAATATCTAAATATTTTTTTTTTTCTGTATCACTCCATCCATCTCGAGGCCCGGTGTTGCTAGAGCATGGGTGCTCTATTGGTATGGAATAATGGAAGTCCACAATCCCAAGCCATTGGAAGAGCACCAGTAGAAAAACTGGCTGTTTCTTGTCCTTGGCATGGCACTAGGAGAGACTTTGGCTCCGAGTCTCTGTTGGAAGCCAAGGGAAAAAAGCACATGAATACAATTGAGAATAACCTCTGAACAACGAGACCTCCTGGGCCCTGATTCAGCAAAGCTCTTAAGGCCAGAGCCAAAAAACTGTTTAAGTGCCTCAGAGTTAAAGCACGGCTTCGTGGAAGATGGACTGAGGGAATTAATTGACGATACAGGGGAGGAACTAGCGCTGAATTGGACTCTTTTCCCCTCGTGCCCGTGCTCTCACGGGAGCCAGAGCGGCTGGGAGCGGGCAGTGTCCCGGGGAGGCTCCTTCCCCCGCTGCCCCGGGGGGCGATGGAGGGGACGGGGGTCTCCACCCCGGGGGGGGTCTGCAGCGAAAGCAGGGGGGGGGCTTTCCCAGCATCAAGCGAGCAAGCACGTAGGAAATATCCTCCCTGCGAAAGACGCCGAAGCTTTGCTCAAAGCCAAGCTTGCCGTGTCTCAAGCGAAGTTGTCAAGAGCCATTAGTTCTCGCGGGTCCCCGTGGTGCTGCCCCCCCCCCCCCCCCAGGCCCACGGGCGATGCGCAGGGGTCCTGCCCACCCGTGCCGGACTGCCCGTGGAATCCCGACCACAGAGCGTGACGATGCCCTGTCGTTCCGTGCTGAGTGTCAAACTGCCACAAAGGGTTTCGCAGCTGCCGGTGGGCTGAGCACATACTCCCAGGAGGCCGGCACAGCGTTTCCTGCACTAATTGATCCGGATTGCCAAGCTGTGCTGAAATGTGGACACACATGAAAAAAAAAAAAAAAAAAAAAAAAAAATTTGTTTTCGCTGTTCTATCTATAAAACTTCTGTGCGGCACGATTTAAGCTTCCACAACAACGATTATTCGCAGCAAATAATAATTTGTAAGCAAGTATTTGTCTTAGTGTCATGCTAGACGGAAGGGATGGAGAAGCAGGCGGGGTTTGGTCTGGTGCCCACCCTTGCTTCTCGCCCTGCAGCTGCAGGTCGTGGCCCAGGGCTGTGGTCCAGGAGATGCTGCGGGGGCGATGCCGGGGGTCCCGGAGGGCGGGGGGGGGTCTCCCTGGGCTGCTCACCAAGCCTCGCCGGGCTTCTCTTCTCCTGAAGCTGCTGGCTTTGGGCTGGAGGAGGGGGCAGCCCGGCGTGACTCCATCTGCAAGGAGCACCCCAACAGCTCGGGCCCCGCGCATGTCCCTGTGCCCGGGGGGGTGGCTGTGCGAGGGCTGGCCGGGGCGGCTGTAGGGACCTAGATCTCCTTCCGGAGAGCAACCCTGACGTTGCTGCAGATCTTAGAGAGTGCCTCGAAGAGCGGGTCGCAGAAGGTGTGGATGCAGAGGGAGTAGATCCGGCTGACGCACTGGATCTCTATCAGGTAGCTCTTGATGCAGGGCACCACTGCCCAGATGTGGCAGAAGGAGATGAGGGCAAAGAGGAAGCCCCAGACGACTGCCAGGGGGATGCCCAGGATGGCGGAGAGCAGCCGGTAGCACCAGTACTTGCTGACGGTGAAGGTGGTGTAGCTGGTTTTCCAGATGCCGTCAAAGCTGTATGTTCCCACAGGCTCAGCTATCACATCCTCGAAATCCACCTGGGAGGAGAGGAGGTGGAGGTAAAGGGGGCTTGGGAGGGGGGGGGGTGACAACGGCTCCGTGCAAGGCTGAGGATCTGCGGCACCGTGAGAGGGGAGCTGGGCTGGGGGTGCTGGGGCCAGCAACGGGCTCTCGGAACGGGAGCTGGGCGCGGGAGTGTTTACTCCGGAGGAGGCCAGAGCCTGTTCCTGACCTTTTTTAGCATTCAGGGACATGGGCTGCCTGCTCGGCAAGGTGGTTTGTGCTAATAAAAAGTCCAAGAGCCCTCTTGATTTACGATTTATTTATTTCTGTGTGTGGAGGTGAGGTGCTCAATTCTGTCTGTCTGCGTTCTGTCTGAAGAGGGAGAGAGATCGGCTGGGCCATGCCCTTACAGGGCTGGCGCTGTTATGTGCAGGCATTGGGAGTGTCTCTGAATGGCAAATACTCTTAAAAGCCTCTGAGCCACACTTAGAGATCTCATTGTGGTGTAATTCATTTCTAGGGAATTTGTAAGCCAGGCTCTCTGCCTTGAAAAATAGCATGGCCTTTCCTTGGGAAGCTAGCACGTCTCTTTGTACTTTTACGTTAAACTGTAATATCCATTCTGGTTTCGGAAGCACTTTGATCATAAAATCGTTCTGCAGCACCTCTAATTTCCTGGAGTGGGCAGGAGGTACGGGGAGAAATATTGATGTGGGTTGGGGACCAGCGGCCCTGGGGAAAGCCCAGGTGGGCTGGAGCAGCAGGTCTGCGCAGCTGCCTGATGAGCTCGTCAGGGGCAATTAATGAAGGGGGCAGCGGGCTATAAGAGCCGTCTCTGCCTTGCTGCTCCTTTGGCTAGCTGGGATCCAGAGGTGGGTCCGGAGGAGTGGTGGAGGCTGAGCCTGGGAGCTGCCCTGGGGTGTCTGGGGACCGGCACTCACAGGTACCCTCTGCTGCTGCTCGGCCTGGGAGGAGGCTTCAAAAGCTCTGTAAAGCCGCTGGGGCTGGGGCTGCAGCTCCAACTCCAACTGTGACGCGGTCTCAGATTCTGGCTGTGGCGCTGTAATGCCCAGGATGGGTTTATCTATGGCTGCAGGAACCCTTCAGCCTGCAAAGCTCCCTTGCTCCCCTCCACCCGGTGCCTCTGCCTCCGGGCGTTCAGAGCATCGCGTGCTTTAATGCCCCGGGGTGTTTTCCAGTGTGGTCCTGCCCACGGGAGAGCAGGCTTCGGCTTTCCCTTCGGGATGCTGTTGAGAGGCAGTGGGGTGAGTCGCGTTCCCTGTCCCGGGGCTGGCTCTGCGCTCCCTCCCCAGCGTTATCGGCTGTGCTATTTTTAAGGTGGGAGGAACGCTAGGTAGCTTGAGCAAACGCTCTGAAAACTTCCAAAGCTGGTGAAGCGGCAGTGTGGCCACGTAAGTGGGTGAGCTTGATAATCCTCTTACAGGCTTTTGGGGATCCCTGAGCGGGAAAAGGCTGGGGTGGGGGAATGGGGCTGGCATGAGGGGTTAGGGATGGCCTGGAAGGCAGCGGCACTGCCCCCCAGCAGTAGACACCTGAGCTGGGGAGCAGGTAGATGCACCCCAGAGCACGGGCCGTCCCGGTCCCTGCCGTGCTGGTGGCAGGATGG